GATGAGGAAGTAAATCATCATGAAGCAGTTAAAGGGGGCTTGGCGCAGAGTAAGCATCTGGTTACTTTCCTAAGAGTTAGATAGTAGAAATACTAATGATCTTTTCAGCAATTCCATCATTCAGTGTCTGGGAAATGTAAACTTACAAAGGAATTTTCCTCATAAAAATGTCTGACTGCATTTCCTAAATCCTTTTTCTTTAAACATCTTTTTTTTTAAAAATACCCTATTTATTGCTGTATTATTTAACTATTTTATTTTGGCAGGGTGGAGGAGGTAACCAGGCTTGTTGACTTTTAGAGGAGGTACTGGGGATTGAACCCAGGACCTCATGCATGCTAAGCATGTGCTCTGCCACCTAAGCTATACGCTGCCCTCCTCCCTAAATCCTCTTTGTAATTTGCTTTCCTTTCCTCGCGTCCCACTCCAGTCCTAACTCATTAATATTTCTGAATATTAATGAGAAGCCTGCCTCCTTCTCTATCACCCCTCTCCTTCCCAAGCACACACATTTTTGGCTCTTTCCTCCTTTCCCCAGCAAATGAGAACAAGGGAAACGAGAAATGTCCAGCTGCAATACCACGAGCTCTCTCCTGAGAGCAGTTGCTCTGGGGAAGACAAGGTACGGGCACTGCTCACTGGAACCCCTAATAGCCTATCAATGTTGCTGTGGAAATTCTGTAGTTCTTTGAGTTTTATTTCGCTACAGCCCAACTCAGCAGGAAGAAATGAGATGTAAATGGCAGAAGATCAGGCATCACCAGTCTACTGGGAGATGTCATTTGTCTCGTCGCAGGTTGGGTTCCTGGAACTGGAGACACGGAGCTGGAGGTAGCATGAGTGATTTTTATCAGAGACGGCCCTTTGGATTAACACCAATGGAAATGAAAGGAAGGAAGCAGGACTGGGCAGAAGGAGGCGCTGGAATGGGGTGCAGTCTCAGTGAAGACCTCAGCAAATCCCATGGGGAACTCTGAAACGAGCACGGCCTTCACCCCAAGTTGGGGCAAAGGTCTAGACCTTCAGAGCCTCACACTGACCTGCCATTGGATGCGGGGCATCTCAGGTCAGAGCCTGGGCTGGAGAAAGTCAACTCTTATCTCTACTCTATTCTAGTAACTGGGGGACTAAGACCTTCACAGCGAAGAGAATCATGGCATCATATCAGAACACCCATTGCCTGCCCCTAAGAGCCCTTCTTCGTGATCTAAGATCCTGACTTCAGAGGGTGCTAACCTACAGTCAGGGCACTTTGTTATCACATCTGCCTTTTTACTGGTAGTACCAATGCTCCCTTCTCCTCCTGTATTTCTCCCAGTTGTGATCATTATTTGTCCCCGCTTCTGCTCCTGGAACATCTTGTCTCCTATTCCAGTTCCGTTTTTAGAGTTGAATCACGTCTTGCATTTCCAAAGCCCACTGAGGACTCCCACTGCCAGTCTTCCACGTCCCAGCCCCTGTGAGTTAAAAGTAAAAGGAAAACCTGGAAGAATTTATAGTTGCCACGCGAGCCATTTCAGCCTGATCTGAAAGGCTCAATCTGTAATTCTATTAACCACTTACGGGAATACTGGGCTTCTTGGGACCGATGGAAAGAGACTTTCTTTCACTGTTCCCTTTTAAGTGGTTGGGGTCCAATGAACTCGATCAGAAAGTCCTCTCAATTCCAGAAAGTGTTCCTCACTTCTACCTCTTCATGTTACCCACATTCAAACGTTCATGGGCTAACAATTCACTGTAATATTCCATTGGCTGAGGCCCTGCCATCCCAAGGGTGACAAATGAATGGAGGAAGGACCAGAGTGGCCAAATCTGAAGGGTTATGGGAAGTAAACCATAAATAACCAAGAATGTGAGCTTTGGGGTAAGTCCTGACTCTCTCTGGGCACTGTGCATTCTAGTATGTTGGATGGAAGTTCCAGTGAATGTATTTGGAAACCAATGACAGGTCCTAGAACCCTAGAAGACTTGGGACTTCCAAGATGAGGCCAAAAAAATTATACACATAGAACAGTCCTATAGTACGTGAGAAAGTAAAGAAAGGTCAAGGTAGAGTCTATTCGGTTGTCCCCAAGGTTTGGGGAGCTGAATTAGAATTCCAGGAGTGAAGGCAAAAAAAAACCCCCCAAAAACCAAAAAAAAAAACCCTTGTGCCAGGGTGTTATAAAAATGTACATTGCTTTCAGCTATATAAATTAGATGCCAGGTGTGGGGTGTGGCTCTTCTCTCAGGCAAAGAAAAATGAAGGCTGACCATGCTTGGAAGTTACAAGAAGGAAATATGCTCTAGGTCTCTGATGAGGAATACGACTCCAGTTGGAAAAGGCTTTAAATTTTATTATTACTGTATTATTTTTACACTAACTTATTTATTTTTAAATAAAAGTGTGTCCCGGCTGGGCAGGCAGAAAGACAGCAGCACCCCGATCCGCTCACTTCCATTGGCTCGGTCCTCTGAGTCTCCCAGGACGAATCTAGGGTCGCACAGTGTTTCTGTGAGAACCCCTGCCAGCTGGCGGAGCCCCAGGAGGACACACTGGTGGCTGAGCCCGCTTGCCGTCCACACAGGGAGGGACTGACAGCTCTGAGGATGGATGTCCTCCTGCTCTCCAGCTGTTCTCTGTTCTCGTGACGGCCACAATCCGTCTTTCGTTTAAATGTGGTACAACTGCCAATTACCCTCCAAAAATAAGTGATGGACTACTTCTCCACAGTAATTTGCTTATTGTTAAGTATGCAATCTCTCTCCCCCTGACACAGCACTTTCCAGGAGCCCCTTCTAACACCCTGCTGAGTGTGACGACCCCTGCGTGTTCCAGGGGACAGGCTTCACTTTGCTGTCACCCAGCCTGTGAGTTCTGGTGTGGAAAACCGTAGGTGTTAACAATAACAAGCCCTCACTGAGTGCTTACTCACTGAAACAGTATGCTGTGCCCTTTACAGTATTTTCCGGCTAATCCTTACATTCTGTAAGGTAGATATTATTGGGGGCCAGATTTTAGCTATATTTTACCAAAAAGGAAACGGAAGCTAAGGGACTAGATGTAATTTGCCTAATAGTGCAGAATAAGCAGGTGGCAGACTGCAGATCTGAGCACAGGTATGGCTGATGCTTGTGAAACCCTGACCACCATGTCATGCAGCCTGGCTGAGAGCATAAAGAGCTACGGTCTGCGGTGGGAACCGACGCTCCCCAGTCACCCGAGCACTCACCGTCCAGCAGCGGGACTGTGTGAGCCAATATGGTAGCATGGTCCAGAGCACGCGATTTAAAGACCCATCTGCAAGTTCCTAGTTTGTAGCTTTGACAAATTAACGTTTTAAAATTAAATTCGGACATTATCTGAAAATTGAGCAATACGGATCATTCCAGTTGTTACGAGGGTTGGGATATAAGATATGAGAAGCCCAACATCCCTGATACAGAGTTAAGTGCTCAGAGATTGAACACTAACACCTGTCACGGCCAAGAGCTGCCTAGGAGACATGACAAGGAAATGCGATGTGGTTTCCTGGCTGGAGCCTTGGAACAAAAACAAATGCACATTAGGTAAAAACCAAGGAAATCTGAAAGCATGAACTGTCGTTAGTAACACTGTATCAACATGGTTCCACTGGTTGTCATAAAAGCAACATCCTAGTATGACATGAATCGTAGGGGAAACTGAGTCTGGGGAGCATTGGATGTGTCTGTACTATTTTCACAGCAATTCTGAGAACCTAAAGCTCTTCTGAAATAGTTTACTAAAAAATAATAGTCACTAATTCTGGATTCATACCTGATTTCTATTATTTTTTAAAATTCTAAGCATTGTTCTTTTAAAAGATTGACATAAACAACATGCAGACAGGTATCATGGACTATATCTGGAAATTGATCCATTTTTAGAAGAGCAAATGGGTAGGAAAAAATACAGGTCCAATGAAAAGCAATTATGTGTTGGCTTGGATTTCAGACAAGCTGTAGGAAAAGAATCTATGCCAGCTTCTTAATGCCTGCACACCTTACAAGAAACCAAGGAATTTAATATTTTCATCTGCATTTCTTAAGTGCAAGATTATGTCATTTACATAAATAAAGTACTACGAAATATATTTAGAGTAAATATATGTATATACACATACATACTTATATACATATATATGTATATTTTTTATTCTACTCTATTAGCCAAAAAAAAAGCACCTTTACCTGCAGAAGCTTTAGTTTCTTGGCAAGGTAAGCACAGAGCATATTCGAGATGTGCATACCAAAGTGGATTTTATAGTATTCATAGTTCATATTTGGCTACAACTTTTATGGGTATCAGGTGAAAAACATGATAAGAGGAAAAGTGTGTGTGTGTGTGTGTGTGTGTGTGTGTGTGTTTTCATAAAAAGCTAGATACTAGTTGATAATGTTCAGGTCTACAGCAGGGACTTCTCTGTTCAGAAGAGTTAACCCCTGAGTGACAGGCAGACGCTGAGCCTTTAATTCCTGGAGGCAATCAAAATGTGCAAAGGACTTAGAGTGTTGATGAGCACAGAGAGGAATGATTAGTATGTGTATCAAAGATAAACCACACACACACAAACACACACATGCACGTACACGCTAACACACACTCACCACAGGCTACAAAAGATTCTAAGTCATTTATGGATGTTTGATGGACCCATTTGTACAAGATCCCTCTGCCTGGAGCTCAGACTGAGAACGTAAAGAAAGACAAAGGTGCTTCTTCTGAGAAGTAACCTTTTAACACTAGAGAGAAATGGTCTTACTTGCTTTTGAAGTAGAACGCTGCACAGAACATGCCCACGATGACAATTCCAAAGATGATACATGAAATTGACAGCACCTGCCTTTGATACACTTCTTCACTCTCTGTGAATTTGAAAAAGAGAATTAGAAGGGATGGTTAGCAGGGCACAGCAGAGATCATCTCCATCCTCGTACTTTGAGCTGGTAGGAAGCATTTCAAACCAAAGTTTTTTGTTCCTGTCGTGAATAGGAAAACATGAGGAAGTTATTTGATTCAATTTCTTTGCAATGGTCTGTAGGATAGCTGTTTTTTTTTTTTTTGTATATGCATGGTTAAATCAGAGCTCGTACACAGATATCACAGTTAAGAATCTGATTATCAAAAGATGGATCATGACTTTAGGACATACTAGGGACACACATTTTCAAAATTATGGTGGGGCCCAAAACAATCTGCTTTCAGAACTGTTCTATGCCAGTGATGACTTTCAACTGACATCATGTAAAACTTACATCACTGTATTTTCTGATTTGGTCCTTGGCTGTCAGTCTCCCATTCATCCCACCCACTACTATGACTGACATCCCCAATGAAAGAGAACTTCAATGTACATGTGAATATTTATTCACCCATTCCGTGAGTTCCTCAATACCAATGATCTGGCACAGTTATCTCAACCAAGGTCATATCTTATAGCTTCTTATTACAAAAAAAAAAAGAATTCAAAGCAAGCACTTCACTTTTCAGGTATTATCATGTACACTTCTAGCTCATTTTCTCAAATATGTCTACTGAGACAGTTCTTCCATCTCAAGACCTCTATCCTTATAGATCTCAGAGCTTTCTTTCTGTTAATTATCCTTCTCTTGTCTTCATTTCTCTCTTTATGCAGCACAGAGAACAGACACTATGGTCCATGGTTACAGTCATTCATTTTCTTGCAAATATCCTTAACTCCTATATCCCTTCCCCCTTCCCTATTATCCATTTGGCAAAATAACTGTATGTATCCAAGAACTGCCTTCTCCATATATCTACCTTGAGCAGCTCAGAATTGTGAAAGAAGATTACACAAATGGGAAGATGGACATCAGTAAAGGCTGAAGTCACATTGCTTAACAAGACGTCCAATAGTGACTAACAATCTCATCAGCCTGCTCCCCTATTTTCCTGTTGATTATTCATACCTTCTTGACTACTCAGTCTCATTACTTACCCTCTACTTCCTCACTCTCAGATTTTCCATATATGTTATAAAGAAAAGAAAGCCAGTATAGAAGAAATCATCTCTATTTATAACACAAAATATACAAAATTAACTGTATCTGTATCTTTTCCTTTTTGTTTCACTCTTACTAACAGTACAGTAGTTCTCAAACTTTAGTGTGCACTGGAGTCACTTTGAGGGCTACTGAGGGAGCAATTATCACCTACTTTCTCTCCTAGAGTTATTGATTTGGTTGCTATAAGGTGGGAACAGAACATTTGCATTTTTTAAAAGTTCCCAGGTGATTCTGATACTGCTGGTTTCTGAAACATCCTTGGAAAACCATTGACTAAAGAATCCTCAGACCACAGATCAACTATGAAAATTAACCTGGGGGAGGTTTGGTTTTCTTTGTTCGTGCTAACTATGGTATCCATTTAGGACCTTCTAAGCCAAAATCTTTATTTCAAAGAACATTTTCAGGTGTTTCTCATGCACACTGAAGGTAAAGAACGGGTCCGTTAGAGAAAGTGCTATCTTCTACCAAAGACGAATTTTTTGGGATACCACTGTCTTCTACCTTCTTGGGGTCTTCTCATCACTGAAAACTGATAGGAAGGGAAAAACATTCCAATTCATTATATGATGCCAGCATTTCCTTTATATCAAAACCAGACAAAGACATAAAAAGAAAATAAATTACAGACATATATCTCTCATTAGCATAGATGCAAATATTCATAACAAATTTTTAGGAAATCAAATCCAACAAGATGTTAAAAATAATACATCATGGCCGACTGGGTTTATACAAGGAATGCAAGGTTGGTTTAATATTTTAAAATTGATCAAAGTCAAGAAAAATTATTTAATTATCAGATTAGTGGGAAAAACTACTTAACAAGATCTAATATTCATTCCTAATTAAAACTCTCAGAAACTAAGACCAAAAGGAAACTTCCTCATCCTGACAAAGAGTATATAACAAAATTATACCTAATTGCAAAACATCACTTTTCTCCTGATACCGGGAATAAAGCAAGAATGTACGCTCTCACCACTTCTACTCAACATTGTACTACTGGTATATACAGTCAATGCAATAAGGCAAAAATAGGTATTAAGGCCATTCGAAGTTTGGGGGAAGAAGAAGAAAAGTCATCTTTGTTCTCAGACAACATAATCATCTCTGCAGAAAATCTAAGGGTCTCTACAAAGGACTAGAATAATTAATAAGCAAGCTTGGAAGATGTGAGGTTGCAGGATAGATAATACAAAAATTAAATGAGTGTCTATTTAATTCCAACAAATAATCAGAAATTGTAATAAAAGTATCATTTACAATACCATCAAAATATATAAAGTATGTAGCAATAAATTTGACAAAAGATACACAAGACCTGTGCACTGAAAATGGCCAAACTTTACTGAGAGAATTTAAAGAAGACCTAGGTAAATAGATACATCATATTTATGGGTTAAAGACTGAGTATTATTAAGACATCAATTCTCCTCAAGTTAAAAGAGATTGAGTGCAGTTCTATTGAAATCGCAGGAGGCATTTGGTTGTTGTTGTTGTATAGAAATAAACAAGCTGATTCTAAATGACTTATATGGCAATATAAAAGATCTAGATAAGTCAAAATAACTTTTTTGGTAGCCAAGAGAACAAAGTTGAAGGACTCAAAACTACTTTATTCCAAGACTTATTATAAAGCTCTAGTAATCAAGCCAACATGGTACTGAACTATTTATAAACAGATAAATCAATGGAATAGACGATAAATTTCAGAAACACATGCAAACATATGTGGCCAATTGATTTTTGAAAAAGATTCCAAGGCAGTTCAATGAGGAAAAGATCTTCTCAAAAACTGACGTTGTAACAACAGTAGAGCCGTAGCCACGAAAAAGAAACCTCAACTCTGACTTCATATCTTACTCAAATATAAACTCAAAGGATAATAGACATTAATGGAGAATTTAAAATTACAAAACTTTTCAAGAAAATACAGGAGAAAATCTTAACAATCATAAGTTTGACAAAGATTCCTTAACTACAACACAAAAGATAGGAACTATAACGTATTTTAAGTCAACAAAATGGACTTCACCAAAATTAGCAACGTTTTGCTCTTCAAAAGACACCACTATGAAAATGAAAAGGCAAGACACGCTTTGGGAAAAAATCTGCAAATATATAGCAAAAGTAGACTTGTATCTATAATATGTGAGGATCTCTTACTACTCAATAATAAAATGACAATTCACCAATTTAAAAATGGGCAAAAATTTTGAACGAACACTTCCCCAAAGATACATAAATGGCAAACAGGTATGTGGAAAAATACCCAACATCATTAGTCATTATGGAATTGAAAATTAAACTATAATGAGATAAATGGCATTCCTACTAGATTAGCTAAAATTGAAGGCTAACCATACCAAGGGTATGGAGCAATCTGAACTCTCACGTACTTCTGGTAGAAATATAAAATGGTATAACCACTTAAAAAATAGTTTCATAGAAAGTAAGGATACACCTACATTATGAGGCAGGCATTCCATTCCTAAGTATTTAGTCAAGACTATTAAAATTTATCTTCATTATGTATGTAAATATTCATTGCAGCTTTGTGATAGCAAAAAGCTGGAAAGAATCCAAATGCCCATATTTGACAGGTGAACAGATAAACAAACTGTGGTATATTCATACAATGGAATATGAATCAACAATAAAAAGAATTGAACTACTGATATAAGCAACAAAACACATAAATCTCAGAGTAATTATGCTGAGAGCATTAAGTCAGATTAAAAAAACAGGGCACATGTGTTATTCCAGTTATAAGAAATTCTGGAAAATGGAAACTAATCTATAGTAACAGAAAGCTTGTTGGTAGATACCTGGGGTCAAGAGTAGGGAGGGGCAGAGGAATGAGACTTTGGGGACTTACAGATGTGTTCATTGTCTCAAATATGATGAGGTGTTCATGGGTGAATATTTATGTCAAAATGCATCAAATGAAAAGTTTCAGAATAAGTGTTTTATTTTATATCAAGTATAGTTGTAAATATATTAATCCTGGGGAACAAAGGATTATAGGTAATATATAAAGAATATACATAATATAAAAGATACTCGCCCAATATGACACCATCCACTCACACTAACTACTCTTTTTCTCCACCACAAGCTTCCTTGGTGCCAGGGACCATGTTTTTGTTGATTTATTCATTTGGGTTACCGCTGTTTCTCCAGCATCTAGCGCAGTGCTTCTCCAGCATCTAGCGCAGTGCTTCTCATGAAACTGACACCATAAGATTGTGATCCCGGAATAAATAGCTATTTCTGCCTTTATAGATCTCCTGCTTTAAGCTGTGTGTGATACATCAACTCACTCAGGGTGCTCTTAAGGTTTAATATTCTCTGTTATTCACACCGCGTCCTCCCAGGGTTCACACAAGTCCTCCTTTCTGGGGTTGACCACCTGCCACAACCCCACGCATTCCTGAACTTGACATCAGCTCCTTTCATGGGGTTTTTCCCATTCAGATCTGGCCTCCTCCTTTGACTTTGTACTCACCACGTTCTTTTCAGCAGCAAAGAGTCATGAAGAAAATGGTGGGGCCGTTTGTCCCCAGGCCTCAGAAGATACTATAGCGTGATCTACCAACAGGTAGATGATCTCATTGTTCATCTTCTTTTCCACACCGTCTGTGGGCCAGGCCCTTGCTTTCTGGGTGATTTTCAGGGGGGCTGTTCAGGCCCCAGAAAGATGCTTGCTCTGTGTGTTGGATTTGTCTATTGTTGCGAACACTCCATGCTCGCCCTGGTGTACAACCTGGCTTTCTGTTCTGGCCAAGTCCCACCCGATGCTGATGCCAGTCCACAGCTGGAAAACCAGGGGGGGA